CCATCACTGGCCTCCCGCCTCGCTTGCGTATACAACGTACAGTCTGATTGGCGCATGTCTCAAGCATCTGTCCTTCACAGCAAGTGGGTCAGCGCTCGAACAAAGTGCCGCGGCATCTTTCTTCTTTCGTCCGGGTACGATTAAGTATCAACGGCCAATCGATGTCTCGGTTATGAATGCGGTGCACAGCGACTCTCTCCGACCTCGGCATCTCTGGCACCCCCCCGCCACCCCCTCTCGTGGCCTCAAGTCTCACTTTCCTTCTCACACATCCTCAGTCTCCTCCAACTAGCTCCGTATCTCTCGCACCTCCCCCTCTCGGTGTCGGTGTTCTGCAGGCGTTCGGACCTGGGCCCCTTAATCTTTCTCCCTCCACAGTTCGCCTCTTGATATATCATCTCAACTTTTCTGCTCTCTCTACTGACGATACCCAAATCACCTTTTTCTTTTTTTCATTCACCCCTCAACCTTTCTGCTATCTCCTCCTCCTGGCTGGCTGCCTGCCATCCAAATGCCTGGATGACGCTTCACTCTCTTAATCCGTCCGAAACATCGATCATTTTTATTCAGATCTCTCGTTCTCCTCCTTTCATCCACAACCATCTACTTACATCTCTCTCTCCTCTCGCCGCTGCTTACTCTGCCTTCAACCAGACTCATCACTGCCCATAGACTCCACTGCCCATAGACTCAACACTTCCACAGACTCAACACTGCCCACAGACTCAACACTGCCCACAGACTCAACACTGCCCACAATCAACACTGCCCACAGACTCAACACTGCCCACAGACTTAACCCTGCCCGTAGATTTGGCACTGCCCATAGACTCAACACTGCTCAGACTCAACACTGCTCATAGACTCAACACTGCACCATAGACTCAACACTGCACCATAGACTCACACTGCACCATAGACTCAACACTGCCATAGACTCAACACTGCACCATAGACTCAACACTGCACCATAGACTCAACACTGCCCATAGACTCAACACTGCACCATAGACTCTCACAGCGACCCGTAGCCAACCGTTCTAAACGGGGAGGTGCGGGAGAAGGACAACACTAAACAGAAGAAGCAGTCTTCTTGGTTCTTTCGGTAAAGTCACGTAGAAGGGAAGTAATAAAATAATAAAAAAAACATAATAAAACAATTCTCACGACGTTTCGGCCACAACGCAAGCAGCCGTCCTCAGGTGAAAACCAGGTCCGTCGAGGCGACAGTCTGAATGAAACAGCACACGGGCTTAGAGCATATATATAAGCTGGGCGCATTGACAAAGGAATTTGCATATCAACAGGAATTTAGCATATTTATGGGAAATGCAGGAATGTAATTAGTACTGCATATGCATGTGCATTATGCAGGATTAACAGCATCAAAGGGAGCTGCAAAAAAAAGAAGCAGTTTTAAAGAAATGAGTTGCGACGTCACGAGATCCCCGCAACTTAAACAGGCGTTGTAACCGATTTGTTGGCAACGGATGCGTCTAATGAAGGGAACGGCGCTAATGTGTCACTGTGACGGGGAATCAACTAAGCCACTCCACATGGCAATTCTCCTCCCCCCCGTCTTCTGTTACATTCGCCGCGCTCGCCTCTCCGCCATGCCCATACCCCTCCCTCCCGGCGGCACGTGGGTTCTGACTTGGCTTGCGGGCGTCATCCAGGCAACGTTTACTCTGCCCGCGCGCCGTGTGGATGGGCAGAGACCCCAGCGCGAAGTGGTGTCGGGTTTGAAACCCCCCCCCCCCTCCACGGGCGTTGCGTAACGCGTTTACGTCGCCCCGCACCTCCCTCCTCGCTCTCTCACCCTCCCTCCCCTCGCCTCCTCCTTCCTCCCTCCCCCCTCCTTCCTCTCTTCCTGCTCCCCCCTCTCTCCCCCCTCCACCTCCCCTCCTCCCCTCCTTCCCCCCTCCTCCCCCCTTTCTTCCTTCCCTCCTTCCCCCTCCTTCCCCCTCCACCCCTCCTTCCCCACCTCCTTCCCCCGTTCCCCCACCCTCCCACATATTTGTAAATATTTAGAGTAGGCTCGTGTTCGGGAGAAGCTCTGCTACGGTGCTTTTCCTGCAGACGCCATCCGTCATTGCTGGTGTGCACGCGTTCGTGGCAAGCAAGCCCTCGTTATTTTGGGACCTTTTGGCCGGTGTAAAAGTATGAAACATAATGATATGTTTTACTCTTAGAATAGGTTTAGAAGTGGTAAAACATATTCTTATTTTTCATACTTTTAAATTGGCAGAAAGGTCCCATGATACAGCTGCTCACCCCGAGCTCTCAATGCTCTGTGAGTGCATTGCCTTTGTGCTGTTCGCCTTTTGGCGTTCTCTGGTCTGACACTGGCGAGACTAGGCCATAAAGAAGGCTGTCTCTGGTGTAGGCCAATCAGTTCCAAAGACAATGCATATATTAGCACAGCGTGTTTGTTTACATGTTCACCACAAGTGCGTGTGATTAATGCAGACTTGATTGCTTGCAAAAGGTTTCTATTTGGTGTTTGAACATCTTAACACAACTCCTACTTTGTTGCCAGAAAGGGTAAAACCTATTTTTATTTTCCATACTTCGTTATACCGCAAATTAAAAAGCGCCCCTCCGTGCGATCTATTTTGCCGTTCCCGACAACGGCGTTACCCCACGCTCCAGTGTGGGAGGGGGCTTCTCCTTGAGAAATGGAGGCACCCGTGGCTGTGGCGGGGGCTCATGTGGCAGCGGTGCCACGCTCAGTGCCCTCGTGTAACGATCCCTCCTGTTCAGTGCTCTGTTACATGGCATTGTGCAGCAGCTATTGGGTTCGGCTGTGAGACGCTGTGTATTTAATCCATCGTCGTTTTGTTTTCGTGAACGCAGAGAGCGAACAAGTTAGTTGAAATAGATATTGCGTGGAAAAACGTGCGTGCACAGCAGTCCCTTGGTTAACGTTTTTAATCTGTTCCCGCGAAAACTATCGTTCACCGAAATAACGGTTCATTGAATATAGGAATTATATGTTAACAGCATGAATCCATTCCAGACGATGATAATGTAAACTAAGCTAGTCGAGGTCGATGATTGGCTAAGGGAGTGGCTGAGCCCCACTTATGAGCGCCCTTATTGGTCGAAATAGACTCCACCGCGTGCATGACGTAAACGTTACCGTTAGTCAACAATGTTACCGTTAGTCAACAATGTTACCGTTAGTTAGCAATGTTAATCTTAGTCGAAACCATGGGGGTGGGTCCGATGCAAGGCGAAACGTTAACAAACGTCAAGAGACGCCCAACCAGGCAAAAGGAAACCTGGGAGACCCGAGAGCACGTGGCCCAAGGCCGTGAAGGATGAGCTGGGTGGCAGTGATCTGCCTCTCTCGGGGCGAGGCTCTGCATGTTGCCAAGGATGGGAAGAAGTTGAGGAAGCTCATTGTGGCCTCATGTCCTATAGGGGATTAAGAGGATTGACTAACTAACAAGCTAACTGTTAACCGAGGAACTGCTGTAGAGTGTTTGTTTGTGCTTATTATTTAATTTATTATTTTATCTTTAGACGTGACTTTACCAAAAGAACCATAGAGTAATTCCTGCAGTCACGAAAGCTCCAAATTCAAGATTGTGCTTAACGTTTTTGGCGATTTCTGCATCGATACCGATTTTGTTCCGTCTTTAGCCGACGTTAGGTGCAGGACATCACACCATAGGTCAGCGGCTCTCGCCACCGTGAGCCAGCGTATAAACATGGTGATAGTCTCCCTCTCGCGCGAGAGGCACCGCCGGTGAATTCCTCCGTCTTGAGGCGGTCATTTTTGCAAAAGAATCTGACTGGGGTGGGGGGGGTAAACGATAGTGACGGTGAACGCCGGTGCCGGCGCCGACTGACATTCCGCAGCTTCCCCTTCGAAAGTGGCCGTCCATCGGTAAGGATCGGGCGCTCGCGTGCAATGCGGTGCTGGTCGTACGGCCTGTCGTAGGTTTGGGCGCCACGGTGGTGAGTATTTGCTGCTATTAATTTCCACATGTTAAGCCACTTCGTTGAGCTATAATCTCTGGCCAGGTTGCTTCTGAAAAAGAGCTACAGCTCAGTGGGCTTTTACCTGGTGAAATAAGGGGAAAAAATCAGGTTTTTGTTCTTTCAACACAAATATGGAGTGCCCCAACGGTGGTAAAACAGAGAACAAGGATTTTGTTGGCCGAGAGGAGACCGCATCATCTCACCTGTACGTACGTTGAATTTCTTTCGCACCGTACATAGCCAGCCGTGCTAATCGGAGGTGTGGGGCGTGGGGAAAGGACAACAAGCTAAACACAACAACAACAACAAGAAGCAGTTCTAAAGCAGCGAGTTTGTCAGTCTAGATGGTTTAAAAGTGCATCACAGCTCCCAGTGGCTTCACTAATATCAGAAGGAAGAGTGTTCCAGACGGCCGCAGAACCAGCTTGCCCGAAAGCACTGAGCGGTGCGGTGACCACCGTATTTGTTCGATGGCCAGCCAAAAGCCGCTGCAGTGAGGATGACCGGAATTCGTGTGGTGATGGTTTATGCTGCCGGTTCACCACCACCACCAAAGACAAAATATCCCCCATATAGCCTTTACAGACTTTCTGGGGCAAGTGCTCTTAGCGAGCACATATGACGGCCAGTATGGCACACGAGGGGGTGGGTGGCCAGTACCACGCCTGGCCCCCTTTGTCTCCCCAGTGACGATGTTTACATACTGCACCAGGTACTCATGAGGCTGAGTCGACCTAGGGGAGGCCCAGGACTGGTTTAGATAATTGTCAGTGGTGTTAGTCTTGAGCGGGAATCAAACCCGCGTTGCCGGGTTGGTAGTGCAGGCCACAAACACTTCCCTTCGCGCACCTCCAACTTTGGGAACGTCCTCCCACCGTCTCTTTGCCCCCCCCCCCCTCGCCCACGCTTTCAATCATAAACTTTCTCCATTCAAAAAGTGCTCTGCACGCTTTGTCCGTTACGATTTTGGCCGTTTAACTTTTTTTTGGCTTTGGGGCCCTATGCTCGTCAGTGGTATTTAAAAAATCAACCCACGATGGTTGGCCACTTTTATCCAGCGTTTGTTCCATGGCTTTCGGCGAACACCTGATTGGCTAGCAAGTGACGGCATCGTAATCAGAATGTTTATTTATACTGAAGGAAT